TATTTATATATATATATATATCTTGCTCTCTCTCTCTCTCTCTCTCTCTATGTGTGTTATCTCTCTTTATGTATGTTTCTCTCTCTCTTTCTCTCTGTCTCTCTCTGTATTTATATATGTATATCTCTTCATATATATATATATATATTATCTCTGTATCTCTCTTTAGCTATATTCCTCTCTCTCTCTCTCTCTTTCTCTCTCTCTCCCTCTCTCTCTCTCTATCTATATATATATATAGATATACACACATGCATACATATATACATACATGCATATATGCATACATACATACATACCATCCCAAGTGGGGCGAAACCAGAGGGGTCACACAAAGTGTTTGAAGTCGGCGGCGCTGAAGAGCCTCATGCGCGTGCAACACATGGACGTGCAAATTAACAGACGGACTTAGCCGAAAGAGCAGCTTTGCGAAGCGTCGCACGCTGCACATTGCAGAAAATTTGTAGGTGTAGTGATAGGGCTGTAACCCCAAAAGCGTGCAACGGCCAGAACCCGAGGAGCACGCAGAATGAACTTGACTCAAGGTGAACTGAAGCGCGAACAGTCTTGTGCAATGCGGGCCGATAATCACCAACACACGACGACCCAGAAAACGCGCAGCGGCCAGAACCCGAGGAGCACGAGAGCTAAATTCCGGACAACCTGAAACGTCGGTACACATGACAGCATGTAAAACTGCAAAAACCAGCCGATTGGTGGGGTAATGCTGAAAGCTATAGCCTGGCGAAATGATGGGTAGGGTGCTACCCTACGATCTGGCGGCGCAACAAGAATAGCAACTGTGCCGCCCTAAACCTGCAAGGCACGGCAGCACCACAACAGCGGACGCGACGCTAAAACAACATAGATTGGCGGTGACGGAACGCAACACACGCGGAAACACCAACACACCTGGCCGAAACCAACCAAATCACACCACACCGAAAATCCCAATGGGAATCCGCGCCACCAAGCAAAGCCAGCGTCAGTGACGAGTCAGTGACAAGCCCAGGCTGGCCGAAAAAAACTGCGGTAAGGCACCGACTGGCGCCGATCGAGCAGCACCGGCAATGAAAAGGTGCACTGCACGCACCGCGCCTAGATTACCGAAGAATCGCGCAAAGACGCCCCGAAGAACAGGAAGAAAAGAGGAGGAAGAAGAGGAAAGGGCACAAAAAAACGCATCACGCCAGCAGAGACCGCCAGGCGACCCGCGGAAGGGGCTCAATCCCCGCGTCGGGGCCAACCTGGAGGGAAAGGGAGAGGGGGGAAAGAGCAAGCAGGGAAGAGGCGGGAAGGGGGCCCTGAAAGACGACGGCGGGGGGCCCCACAACCAGCCGAACCCGCGACCGCCGACAGCGACGACCGAGCGAACACCGCGACCCACGAAGAGGAGGAGGGGACCGACGAGCCACCGCGGGAAGAGCGTCACCGGAGGGTGGCAGGAAAGCCACGCCAGCTCTGACAGAAAACACAACGCCACGGGGCCCAAGGCCAGGAGCGGCGGAAACAAGGGGAAGCGGAACGCGGCGAAGCCAGGGGCATGAAAGCGGCGCGCGCCAAGAGCGACTACTCGGCGAGTAACGGGGCACAGCAGGCGAACCACTGGCGCGCGACAAGGGTGACTGATCCCTGTGCGACCGGACAAAACAGCGACAGATCGGCGCTCGTCCAGCGCATGGCCGCCCGACTCGGGAGACTGTACCGCGATGCCCCCCACGCGATGCAAGCGTGGCGAGGAAGCCGCGCCATCACGGGCCCAGCACGTCGCCGCCGAAATGCACGCAGCGAGCTCTCCAAGCTATCTTGCCCCGGCCCCCCAGCCGCTTGATACGGGTCGCGAGCTGTTCGTTAGAGGCGCCCGCCAGGCCAGCAAGGTGCCCGGCCGAGTCAGGGCCCTCGGTCGCTTCGGGCGGGCACGATGGGACTGCCGAGGCTGGCGGGGCGCGAGTGCCAGCCGGCTGCCGCCCGCGCGTTGGCGGGGAGTACAGGAAGTCGATCACAACATGTCGTGGGACCATTTCTGGGCGAGCTCGCCCCTCCCCTTGATTCCTGTAATCCCAGGAGAAGATGCCCACAAATGTTCACGAGCCCACGGGGCGTCGCCCCACGCCTCCTTGACCAGCAGCCAGAGGTCGCCCTGCGCTTGCCAGGCGAGGCGAGGTCTGTCCCCAGACGGCGCCTCCGCGGCGGGCGCATGGGCCATGATCGGCGGGGGGCTGGCGGGAGGCATGCGCCCGTCGCGCGCCGCTGCCTCTGCCGCCCGCAGCGACGGCTGCCAGTCTGCAGTCCTCGACGTAGCCGCCACGACAGCCGGCGCGGGGGGGTTCTGGACATTTGCACGCGCGCCAGCCGTCCGCAGCTACGCTGTCCAAGCTGCGCGACCAAGTCGCCCGCCTCCTCGGCATGGGCCGGCGGCCCAGGTGGTCTCACAGGCTGGCGCGGACCAGCAAGGCGCCGGCGAGCATGCCGGAGCGCCCGCGCCGGTCGAGGAGTCGACTGCGTCGTCCACGCGGTCCGCCCTCTGGGCACGTTGGACCAGTTCGCTCGCGGAGCTCTCTCTCTGTTCTCGCGCGCCCGCCCGCCGCCGCGGTGCCCGACCAGGCCCAGACTGTCGCGGCCGGGTGACGCAGGCCGCAGCGGCGCAAAGCGGCCGTCAGCAACCAGGCGGCGCAGGGCAGGCTTGCCCTGCTCCTCTGGGTCTGGCACGTTGTCGCCAGGCAGAGACTGGTCGAGGCATCTCCCCCCTCATCCCTCCCTGATCCCTGACCGTCATCCGACGCGTCCTTATCCGCTTGCGATCGGGCGGGGTCTCCACATGAACGGAAAGGGGGCGTCGGCGGGCCGGGGATCTGACGCCGTGGCCCCATGGGTTCCCCCGCGCCCAGTAGTAGGTGATAGAGGGCTCCAGCTTCACACCCAGCGTCTCGCTGTGACATTCGTCTGATCGGGGTGCTGTAGCAGACAATGGCGGGCTCCAGTTTCACTCCCAGCATCTCGCTGAGTAGCGCCAGGACCGGCGACCACTGCGCCTGCCAGTCTTTCTCGCCCGCGCTGATCGGGGAGATCGAGCAGATGATGGCGGGCTCTGGCTTCACTCCGAGCATCTCTCGGCCAATCCTTCTCGCACGCGCTGATCGGAGCGCTGTAGCTGAGGATGGCGGGCTTCAGCATCATGCCCAGCATCTCGCTGTGCACGTTCGTCTCGCACGTGCTGATCGGGATGCTGATTGTGGACCCTACCCTCCGCAGTGAGTCCAGCAGGGTCCGGGAAGCCTGCCCTGTCCTACACGCCCTGCTCGCCGTCGAGAGCGCGCGGCGGGCAGCTGGCGGACGCCGCGGCGGCGACGGCGCTCGCCTGGCGCTCAACAGCCGCCAAGCGCTCGGCCGCCCGCAGGGCCACATGCAAGCGCGCCGCGACGGGCTCCGTCCGCGCCGCCGCCGAGGCCGGCAGCGTGCCAGCCAGCGGCGCTCCAGAGGCCGCCGCGACGCCGGCCAGTCCGCCGTCCGCAGCCGCCACCGCCGGCGGGGAGCCAGCAGCGGCAGCGGCAGCGGCAGCCGCGGCGGCGGCAGCAGCAGCGGCCAGGGCGGGCCCACCAGCGCCAGCAGCAGCAGCGCCCCAGGCGAGCAGCAGCCGCGACGTCCAGCCGGCCCAACGCCGCCGCCGTCCAAGGCCAAGCCGCAACGGCAGCAACACCGGCCGCCGGGGAGGCAAGCCCGGCAGAGCGCGCCAGAGCCGCTTCGGCCAGCCAGAGGCCGACGGCTGTCGCCGGCTCACAGGCGGCCGCGGCATCGGCGCACGCGGCAGCCGCGCCGGAGCACAGCGGCCCAGCGGCCGCACACGAGGCCGCCGCGCCGGCGCCGCAGGAGGTCCCCCCGGCAGCAAGGGCGGCGCCGGCAGCCTCGGCAGCGCCAGCGGCGGCCAGCGGAGCTGGTCCTGGCGGCGGCGCCAGCCTCGGGGGCGGCGCGCCCCGCGCGGCGGCCGCGCGCCGCTGGCGGCGGACCGCAGACTGCGACGCCGCGCGGCCGGCAGCCGCAGCAGCCGCGGACGCGGTCGCCGCCCGCACCATGGCGGGGAGGGGGGGGAGGGCGGAGGAAGGAGGCCCGGGGAGACCGAGGGTAGGTCCCTGGCCGCAGCCGCGCAAGCCGGCTCGGCTCCCCTCGAGCCAGAGCGGCTTGAGCCAGGGTTACGGGCACACACACACACACACACACACATATGCACGCGCCCGCACGGCAGCCTGAGCGGCGCCCTAGGCCCTCCCGCCTGCCTCAACCCCTCCACGAACATGACGCCGCAGCCCGCCACAGGCGATCGCCCAGCGGCCTGGTCCTCCTCCTCCTCCTCCTCATCCTCCTCCTCCTCCTCCTCCTCCCCTCCTCCTCCTCCTCCTCCTCCTCCTCCCTCCTCCTCCTCCTCCTCCTCCCTCCTCCTCCTCCTCCTCCTCCTCCTCCTCCTCCTCCTCCTCCTCCTCCTCTCCTCCTCCTCCTCCTCCTCCTCCCTCCTCCTCCTCCTCCTCTCCTCCTCCTCCTCCTCTCCTCCTCCTCCTCCTCCTCCTCCTCCTCCTCCTCCTCCTCCTCCTCCTCCTCCTCCTCCTCCTCCTCCTCCCCTCCTCCCCTCCTCCTCCCTCCTCCCTCCTCCTCCTCCTCCTCCTCCTCCTCCTCCTCCTCCTCCTCCTCCATCCTCCTCCTCTCTCCCTCCTCCTCCTCCTCCCTCCTCCTCCTCCTCTCCTCCTCCTCCTCCTCCTCCTCCTCTCCTCCTCCTCCTCCTCCTCCTCCTCCTCCTCCTCCTCCTCCTCCTCCTCCTCCTCCTCCTCCTCCTCCTCCTCCTCATCCTCCTCCTCCTCCTCCTCCTCCTCCTCTCCTCCTCCTCCTCCTCCTCCTCCTCCTCTCCTCCTCTCCTCCTCCTCCTCCTCCTCTCCTCCTCCTCCTCCTCCTCCTCCTCCTCCTCCTCCTCCTCCTCCCACTAGCCGCCAGGCCAGGCGGGGCAGGCGAGCGGCCGAGGTGGAGTCCAGGTGGGAAGCGGGAAGGGACGTGGGCGTCGCATTCGTCACGATGGACCTGGCGCGGGAGCGGGGGGGAGGAGGAGGGAGGAGGGCGGGGGAGGAGAAGAGATGGGGAGGCGAGAGGGGGGGTGGGGAAGGGAGGGACTCGGGCCTCAGGACTCAGGGTGTCCGCGAAACGTCTCCACAGGGGAAACTATGCCGGGGGTGCGCAAAGCGCGATGCCAAGGAAGGGGGGGTGGGAGGGGGGGAGGGTAGGCGGAAGGGGGGGAATAGAGACGAGGAAAGGGAGGAAGAACAGGGGTTTGGTCTCGGACACGCTCGCTACGCCTGGCCCCGGTGACTGCCCGTCTCAAAGAGAGACGGGTGCCGGGGGCCGAGGCAGGGGAAGAAGGGGGAGGAGAGGGGTGGGGGGACGCAGAGGGGGGTGGAGAAGGGAGGGAGGAGAATCGGAGGCCGACCTGTACAAATGTGGAGGACCTTTCCCTGAATGACCCTGAAAAATGCACGTCTCCCAGGCTCCAATGTTCTGGTTTGCTGTTTCACAGGGCTGCTGGTGATGAGAAGGGCATCGCTGGCCTCAGCAAAGTTGATGCTCATTAGGACCGTGACAAAGAAGGAATCTCTGAGAACGAGCGCTTCATTCGGCGGGGCAACTATGTCGCCGAGGCTGAGGCCAGGCAAGCTGCTCGCCGGCACGAGCCTTTTGATCAATCCGATATGGAAGAAAAAGTGGACCGCAAGGTCAAGTTTGCTTGCTTGGTCATAGATCGCGGAACTGCTCTCCTTCCTCTCATTCCTCGTATGGGGTTTCGTGGATTGTTTCGGGTTCCTCCACCTCCACCTCCTCTACCTCTTCCTCCCGCTGTCTCCAAACAAGAGGCCCACCAGTGGGCCACGATGTCTGGTTTCTGGCGCTACCATTCCACGCTTGATTATGTAGTTTTGAATGGGCTCCAGCATCGCTTTATCGCGCGCAAGTGAAATGATGACTCCTTCATCTCCGTGTGCTTATACTTCCGTTTTTACACGTCGGGGGCTCAGGTCAAGGCTCTTGGCCAGCCGCGCAGGGCCCGACGGTCACAGGCAGCAAGAAGTGGCGAAAGATCCGGAAAGGGGAGCATCCCGACAAGACGGATGCCTCTATTGATCTGGACTTAGCCAAGCCTCTCTGTCTACAAGGCACCCTTCGGTTCGGGAGCCCTCCACGACACCTGCGCGGCTCTGGGGTGGTGCGTTCCTGGGTCGCGCCCAGGTACACGTTGTCGACCCCACATGCGGGAGCGTGGGACAACTGTTCAATCAGATTAGCCCACGGAGCTGCTTCCTGAGCTGCTGCGCTCTTTCACAGCAGCATTGCCGCGCTGGTTACCTCGACAGTGGTAGTCGTAGACTGAGGTCGCCGTTCAAGGCAAACAACAGAAGAAAAAGGGAGGAGGGAGAGAGGAGGAGGGAGGGGAGGGAGGAGGGAGGAGGGAGGGAGGGAGGAGGAGGGAGAGAGGAGGGGGGGAGGGAGGGAGGGGAGAGGGAGGAGGGAGGGAGGAGGGAGGAGGGAGGAGGGAGGAGGGAGGGAGGAGGGAGGAGGGAGGAGGGACGAGGGAGGGAGGAGGGAGGAGGGAGGGGAGGGAGGGCGGAGGGCGGCGGCAGAAGGATGGAGGCGAAGACGTGGGCGTCGCGACAGAGCCAGCGCCGTGGTGGGGCGGATGGCCTCCCTGGGGGCAAGGAGGCGTGGGAAGCCGACCAGACGCCCCACACCCCTCTATGGGCCAGAAGAGCATCAAACTCGGGCCGCTACTCTGCCACTCTGGGCGACCCTGCTCACCAGCAGCGACGAGAAGGGCGAATAGCCCAGGGGCGGGCATCACGCGCTCTCGCCCAGGAGCCTCGCCGAAGACATGGATCATCGGCGCCACGGGCACATTTCTTTTGCTGCCCCTTGGGCTCGTCGCCCCCATCGTCGCCTCCGAGCTCCGGCCGCCCGACTCCGCGCCTCACCCCGCTCGCGCCCGCCCGCCGCAGCCACACGGAGGATAACAGCCCTCCCTGAATGGACCGCGGGGCGAGACTCTTCGCGCCCCTGCGGGTGGCATGGGCAGGCAGCTCGTCCGCCCCTGGAAGACAAGCTCGGCTGCTCCTGCAGCTGGCTCTCCCGGCCCTCAGGGCCACGCGCTCCTCGCGACGGACCTGGCGCGGTCGGCGGGGCTGGCGCGGGCGGGCGCCTCGCGCTTCGGTCGTGCGCTTCTGCCGCCCAGCGCTCCTGTAAAATATCGCCTCGGCCCTCGCCTCATCATCCTCCTCCCATCCCCCGCCTTCCCACTCATCCTCCTCATTCCCTATCTGCATCCATCCTCTCCCGCTTCCTGCTCCTCATCCTTCACCGCCTCCTCCCTCCTCCTCCCCTACGTCCTCACCCGCCGACCGTAGCCATTTTGGCCCCAGGCTTATGTGCGAGTGGCCCGCCATGTCATTTTGGCATCGGCTCCATCCCACACAGATGCCCATGCGCGCTGCCCCCGCTGGGCGGCTTTCGGCAGGCGCTCGCGGCCGCGCGCCACGAGATGTCCCCGGCCAGCGCCGCCGCTGCCAGCCGAGGCTGGATCGTCGTGCGTCCGCGCGGAGACTCGGCTACGCGGCCCAAGTCGGCCGTTGCCCTCATATGCAGGATGTTGCCGCGCTGGCTCGTGCTTGCGGCCCGCTTCACCGAAGCGTTGCCCTTCGACCAACCATGCTGCCTTGCGTGCCGCCGTCGCCAGTTCCCACATCTCGCCTGCCCCCTCGTGCTCTCCGCGCCGATCTTCGTGAAGACGCTCCCGGTGCCGTGCAGGCCTGGACCCAGCCGCCGACAATTGCTGGCATTGCCGACGCCAGCGTCTACGACAGCACCGACTCCACTATGGACGCCAACGACTCCGTCGTAGCACGTACCCCCTGTCCCGCCACTTCGCGGCGGGACTCGCCCCCCTAAAGGGACCTCTGGTCGCCCAAATTGCTGCGGCTCATCTGGATTCACCACGCACGGCGGAGGCCGTGCGCACGGCCGAGCAAGAACGTGCTAAAGGTCCACCTGCAGGACTTAGCGCTTGTGCGGCGTATCTGGGCGCTGCTGGATACCTGGCTGACCCCGTCACCGTCTCCGAGCCCACAGCCTAGCGACTTCGTACTGGCCACATGCCGGCGCCGCCGCCCCCTCCACCCGCTGTCGTACCTACAAAGCCCCTTCATGGACGCCGCCGCCGCCGCCACTCTCCGACCTGAGCATGGACAACAGTCAGGACCCCTGGTACGTAGCGAGGGTGCCGCGCCGAGAACTTGGGGACGCTGCCGCCGCTGCCGCGCCGCGTGCTCTGCTGCGAGGCTGGCCAGGCAACGCATGTATTGCGCCGGCTACGCTTGCTGCTGCGCCTGCACCCGCCTCGGCACATTCGTCGCCGACGACCGTTCGTCGTCCCAGAACGTTCAGGCGCAGTGGACTGCGGTTTAAGTACGATCGAGTTCGCAAACCTCTTCCTGATCAGGTAGGTTCATGCCGCGCTGTAGCGACTGGCCTCGATCGTACTGTAGCCGAGGCCTTTTTGTTATCATGTATGTGCGCTGGTGAGTCCGAGCAGGACCACCTCCCTTTCCCACCAGCCCCCCAACTCCTACGGGATTAAGCTACGACGATATGCTTGTCCATGCTCCCGAGGCCGAGCGTACCTCGGCCAGACTGCAGCAGCCATGATGGCACCGCCCAGGCTACTGATAAACACGCTTTGTTTCCTCCGCCGTCTCGTCGCTCGTGCCGTGCTTAGGCGTGGGGATTTCCTTTCTCCTCGAGGCCAGCCGAGCTAAAATATGACTCGGCAGAGACCTTGCAGCTCCTTTTACCTATGTAGTTGCTCGTCCACTTCCCCATTAGTTACGCCGCCACCGTCAATCATGTGGTTTGCTTTTGTACTCTGCATAGACGGGAGCTTCCTACACGATTCTCGCGCGCACGTTTACGGGCGCGGGCGCCACTCCTTCCATTTAACCGATGTCGCGACAACCATGATGCTCACATTTGATGGTCAGGGTGGCCAGGGGTTGGTGTCCATGGTGGGGCTCCAGGGATGGCGGGCTGGGTCGGCGGTGGGTGCCCAAGCGGGGGAGGCGGTGCGTTGGCGAGTTTTCCTGAGGCCAGGTTGGACGTACCCCTCATGGCCAGGGAGCTGGCCAGTGCCTGCCCAGCGCTGTGGAGCAGTTGCTCCTGCGTTTGCTGGGGGCGGTTATTATTGGCCCTGGGGTGCTGTACCTTGTCACTGCTGATCACCATCCCAAGCGGGGGTGAGTACCCCGGTCCGTCGTAGCGCGTAGGAAATACAATCGGTATCGCGTCCCAGTCATCCTCGTAGACGCAAGGGTCGATGGGGGATTGTTTTGTGTCAAACTCCCAGTCCCAGCACCAGCCTGGGTATTGTGTCCCCCTAGTCTCCGTTGTGTCCATGCCCCTCGTCATGGACCACAGGTCGCCTCCATGTATGAAGCTTTGGGAGTCAAGTAGCCCATGTGGTGGGTAGCCGTCCATGTGATTGTCGATATGTGTCTGCTTGCGCTGTCTCATGTGCACGGTTGATGTGAGGTGCCCAGGTTCGTTGACCGTTTTGCCGCACTCGTCACAGAGCCAGCACCACTGCCCGCCGCCGTTGTTGTCGTCGATGCACGCCCACCTGACGCCCAGGGCCTCCAGACACCTGAAGATGATCCGCCCCTCCTTGTTCGTGGGCGAGCACGGGCGGCAGGGGGCAGCATGCGGCCACCTGGCCAAGATCTTGGCCTTGTTCACCATGGGGCGCAGGGGGGGGCAAAAGAAGCCCAGCTTCCAGATAGTCGCCGATCCGGCGGGCAGAACCCTGAGCCTTAGCAGCTGCGGTGGCGAGAGGGCGAGGGGAGAGGGGGGCGAGACGGGGCGCAACCTCTGGCCCTACACCCCCAGAACGCGCGCAGGAAGGGGGAGGTTAGACGCATCCCCGACCACTGCTATTCTGCTGGCCCAGGCCTCGAGCATCTCGACGGCAGCGGGGAGGTCGGAGACGGGGA